ACATTGAAGTACAGCATTGAAGAAACACGTATTTCCTAGATTTGCTAAGCCCTATAATGCATAATTAAAAAATTCCTTAATTAAAATAAATATTTTTAATATTATACAATTTATCTCCATTATTGCGTTATATATTAAAAAAGAAATTGTAAAATCATGGAAAAAGAGATTAAGAAGAGCAACTTAAAGAGCAAATTAAATTATACAAAAAAGGACGTATAATTCACATACCCCGACTTTAGGAAGATTATTCAATATTTTATGTTCTTTTTCCTGTACGTCGATTATCGTCTCTTTTTGGCACTGAATCACTGGCATTTTCGATTGAGATATTTGTGGTATATTAACATATTTTTTGATAAATTCTACAGTTTCTAGGAGTTTTTTCCTGAAAAACAAAATAAATAAATATATACATTTATAAACATAAACATGCTTTTTATTAAGTGTATGCAAATAATTAATATAAATAATTATTTTTTATAAAATTTTATATTTAAAGTTGAAACATACAGGCATACTTCAATTATATGAAATAATCTATTTTTTTCTATTATTTTTCTATCATATTATTTTTCAATATTTTCCTCAACCGTTCAGGCTGGTATTCATAAGTTAATATTTCATGTGTCATATGACAAAGCTGTTGACTGACTGTAAAACAGAGAGGTTCTCAAATCTTTCTATCCTATAACTAGTTAATATACTAAAAAAAATTCATCGGTTGATCCATATGTTACAGTTTTCATATATTGATTGATCGTATGATGATATGACATTTTTTAAATATATTAACTAGCCGAGTAGTATACTCATAAATATACTCGGCTGTCCGTCGCATTAAAGAAATATTGAGAATAATTATTCAAGATTTAGAGGAGTAACAAAGAGCGGTATGCTCACCCTAGCGCCCAACTTATGTATTTAAGAGAGAATTCATGATCAGCAAGCAGCTACCGACTTAGAATATCAGATTAAAATCATTGATTGTCAAAATGCGATAATAGAAAAGCGACGAAGTTGTGCGACCGTCGGTCGAGACTACGGTCACATATAACAGAAAAATTTCTGTAAATATCATTCATAGTCTGTTCTTATTTCAAATAATGTGACTTATATCTCGAAATTATACTTAAATCTTAAATATAAAAATCAACTATGAATACCGACCATAGATTTCAGCACGATAGAAAGATTAGTCTTTGCTAGCAATAAATTATTCATTAACAATTTAGAAATAATTATTCTTCAAAAGTTGAAGAAATTTGTAGAAAGAATATCACGATTGACTAAACATGTTTTATTAGTAAAAGGTAGTTTTTTTATGAGAAGTTTGACAAACAAAATAACTATATTTCATTTTTATTAAAATAGATAAATTTGTTTTAAATGTTTTACAGTTAAACGTCTATTTCACTTAATGTAGATATTGAAGCAGGATATCCTGATATCTGGCTAATCAATTTAAGAATAATTCTAGGGCATTCCAGATAAAAATCTTGGTTTTTTTCAAATCAATTAATCTTCATCAGTTGATTTTCATTTATTCGCGCAAATATAATATGTCTTTTTATATTAAAATTTTAGAATTCCAAGACAAATTAATTAAAACGCAAATAAATTTGGAACAATATTATTTCATTATCAATAATAAATGAACATTCAACACAAACGATTTTATAATTATAGACATTAAATTCAAATTCAAATTTTTTATTAATAACTTGTCTTTAAGAAAGTGTTTATATCCAAACACAACTTTTCTTTTTATTAACATATCACAAACATCACTACATAAATTTATTAATTAATTGACGTTTCATTAAGTTATCAGTCTAATTTTCAATGTACGTACTTGCTTTTAAAGCTTCATCTACAATGATCATAAAATTCATCATTACCAACATAATTCTTGTACATAAGCAAGAAATATTTCTTATTTCTTTCTTTTTTCATGATTCAATTTTTTTAAATAAAAGAATAACAAAAATTCCAGGTCAGTCCTGAAATTGTACAGGTATTTCAGGAATTTTTCAAGATATAAATTAAAGTTAAATTCCAGGATAATTCTAGAATTCAAGGACATTCAAAGATTGCTGGATATTCTATTGAATTACTAATTTGATGGTATCCAGAAACGTTTGACGTAGTGTACGTGGACAATAAATATTGAATTTCATAAAAAATATTGGATAATTTATTTCTACACCTAATATTAATTAAAACAGTTTATCACTTAGCTCACCTACTGTTAGGATGAACTTCAATTTCACACTGATAGCACCAAACTTTCCAATGGTGAGAATCTGTTACCATGCAATGGCAGTCACTATGAGGCTTCCTATAATGCTCAAAGGCATGTTGCTTTTCCTCTTTATTACAGCCTTGTTCTCCACATTGCAAGCAAATCCACAGGGGCTTTGAAATATCACACTGCAAATTTAAATAATTTTACGTTAGATTTTAATATCGTTTCAATCAAATAATTGTGTTTAAAATATCATATCATATTTACAATCTCCTTTGTTGTCTTAAGATCCATCTCCAGTTTTTTGCACATGGAACATTTGCTTAATATACCAGTCTTTTTTAGATTTTTTTTTACTTTGTTCAGGTTAATGGCCTTTGCTATATGCGGACATTTTGCACCTACTAACAGTCAATTAATATTACTCTTATAATAAAATATAAGTTCAACTTAAATGTCTTTTTAAAGATTTTATAAATAGACATTTTGAATGTGTTAAATTATAAAATTTGTTTTTAAATTAAGTATTCGAATGTTAAATCTCTCGACTTTGAAATTTCTAAATTTATATTGCTTTGTGTTGCTTATTTTTTAAGCTGCTTGATTGGCTACTAATTCTATTTTGAGAATTCAAAGATATATCCTTAGGGATTAGAGAAACCGGAGCGAAAAATAAAAAATTAAAAAAATAAAGAAGCTCGGTAATCTAAGATGATTTCGAAGATATTATCTTAGATCAGGAACTGTGGAAGGCACGCGTTTCTAACCTGAGCTCGTCTCCTCACAAGACTCTGTAGAGGCTTCACTGACGTCGGGATTCGCGTCCGGTTGCCTATTCCGCTTTTTACTCATCTCGCCGCGCTACTCGTGAACGTTCTCGTCGTGCACGCGTCCGTGTTCCCCGCTCCAGATCACCTCGTCAGTTAAACCCTTATTGTGACCTGACGTTTGCGTGCACAAAAAAACCATGTGGAAACTGGGCTGCGTTCTACTTAAAGGTGCCTTTTCATGCCGACGCTCGACACTCATTTTCAGCATCTTGAAATAAGTCACGTGATCAAAATTGACGCTTGATATTCGTCAATTTCTATCACATGACTTATTTTGACGCCGAAAATAAGCGTCGAGCGTCTGCATGAAAAGGCACCTTTAAGCCTTAAGTCATAAAGAATAAACGAATTACAATTATTCTTCCCGCATTCGACTGTAGTTGGTTAATTTCTTACGATAATAAGCGTCGAACGTGAAAACGCACCTTTAAGCCTTAAGCCATAAAGAATAAACGAATTACAATTATTCTTCTCGCACTTATTGTAGATCCGGACTAAGGGCATTCCACACAAATTTGCATAGCCGCATAATCATATGCATAAAGAAAATTATCCAATCACATTCCTATCATAAAGCAAACGTAAAATACGATTGGATGATTTTCTTTATGTATATGTTTATATGACTATGCAAGTGTGTGAAATGGTCCTTACAGTCGAACAGGAGAATGCTCTGACTGTAGTTGGTTGGTTTTTACATTCCGATTTGGATAAATCCTCGGTGGAAACTAGGCCATTAATTGTATTAATTAATGTATTAAGTACTATAAAGTCCAAAATGTCATATATCGAGAACTGTATTAGTCAAGTTCATGCGATTGTGAACAACAAAAATAAAGCGAAACTACGACAGATTAATAGCAGCTGTATGTATGCATTAATGAATGTACAAATTTAAAAAGAAAATATAAAGAAAAGAAATTTTGAGGATTGATCCTTTATTTGAAAGATACCATGGATTAAAAAATTATTATTAAAAAATTATCAACGAATAATCGGTTATACGTTTCCACATACTCATGAATCAAAATGCTCTTTTCATCTATGATTATTTCTCATATGCCACAAATATGTGTAATAACTATCTGAAAATTTTATGAAATTATCGCAAATAATAACAAATGATACAATAATTAAATAATAAGGTAAAGGTTGAGAAGACAGGAATGATCTCTATCAAAAACCGTACTAGAATGCATGAATGTGATTTCTAATAGATTCCTGTGTTACTTCTATTGTTATCTAGAGCTCTGTTACATGGCACGCTTAATCGAGATTAATAACATCCGCAGTTATGAAATTGGCCAATCATAACTGTTCCTCGGAAGAATGGAACGACTCTGATTGGCCTGTTTCATAACTACGGATGTTATTAAAGGTCTCTTTTACTAACCTCGGTTAAGTTAACTGACGGTTACATGGAGCTCATTTAAGACCTAGTTTTACAACTCATGATTAATTAAATATTATTTTAAGTTAAATCTTGGTTAAAAGTTGACCATGAGTTGTGAAACTGGGCCTAAATGAATCCCATGTAACCGTAAATATAGTCACTATTCTCTCGCATTGTGCAAAGAACAACTCCTATACACTTCTCAGCTAAAAAAAAAAAAATAGACTGCGTTTCAAGGCTGTGGTCCTATTCATACTGACACACTCATGAACATCATTTGTCTTCGTTCCACATTTGACAAACAAGGATGAAATGATTTTTAAACGATCAAAATTTACTGCCAGTGCTGAAAAATGTACAGTATACGTGATGTACAATAAATTGTAGATTGAATTTTGAAACACAGCGTAGGATCACCCGTACATATGTGCACGATCTGCATCGATCTGCCGCACATGCGTAAAAAGCGCATTCCCCACTTGCAACACTGAATACGCAGCAATTGCGATTATAGAGGCCGTGTCGCCTACGCCGTCCTACGGCACTCCTTTCCTACGCCGTAATCCGCTTTCTGGGTTGCATTGATTTTTGCTTTGCAAGCGATAATTCGCGCCCGATTAATTCTCAAAGGCATCTTCTATTATGAATTAATGAATTGTATTGCTAATAAGCGAGAAATTCGATGACATCGGACAAATTTTTTGACACAGATGCGGAACTACTTCGCACGCCAGCGCGTAAGATTACACTTAAAGACAGTCATTTCGGTATAAAAGGCTCCCACTACAAGTAGGGCTCGGCCATTCTGCATGTCCTCTCTCAACGGTGTGGTTGGATCTCGCTCGTATACGCCTCAGGCTGGCTATATTTCCGGAACTTTCGGGAAGGAGCCATTAATTTAATTAAGAAGAAGCCTCAGCGACTTTACTGCTGGCGAACGATCGACTAGGCGCGAGTTAGATACAGGTTGGTGTTTTCGATACTTAAATCAATACTTAGTTGTATGATGGGGCGAACTAGAATAGTTCCTACTTATGGAAGTGTGACGCAATTATCCGTGGTCACGAGAGACATTCGTGATTGGCCGCGAGAGATTGAGATGGGCAAGCCGAGTCATACGGAACAATTGACTAGCTGGATCACTAACGTGCGTCAGAAGAAGCTAAAGTGCTACAGGAGTCCCAAACGTGATTTCCATATGGAAGCTGTGTTGACTCACGCCCTACACAAGGCGGAGTATGAGTTGCGGGCTAAGCAATTATCAAGGATAGTTCGTTGGCAGCGTTTGCGAAAGCATCTCCTCAAGGACGTGGAATATGGCAGCTGCGGCCTGTATAATAAAACTGAACGAGAATTCGAGAGATGTGGCCATCATCCTGACTCGAGGAACTTCTGGCAGGATAACTTGTGCGAAGATCTTAGCAGCATAGTGGACTTCTTTCAGCAGCTGAATACAATCAAATCATCCGTGCAGCGGTGACTAGGCCTAGAGAATAGATCTTATTTCCACAGATAATGATTGAAACATATCTGTGAAAATGTGAAAATCTATAAAAAACTCTCAATCAATTATTTAATTAATATTTTCAAGCTCATCCAAGTAGCTTATTTGAGTGAAAGGGCCACATCAGCAAATGTTCCACATTAACTCCTAATAAGAAGAGTGCATTTAATCAACTACAAGACTATATAATAAATACTGACGATCTATGGATGGATGTCTCGATGTCTATCTTCTGCTTGTTTTTTCTCTGCCTCACTGAAGCAGTACAGGAAATGTTTGACTTACGAACCAATCTATTCTAGTATGGAACTATGTTCCAATATCAGCAAGCAACCTCAATGTATCCAGAAGATGCCAAATAATCCTGCAGCGTTACGGCAATTTTTTGCAGTCTCATCGTTACTAGTATATATCTAGATATTTTTTACTTGCAGTCTCACCTTTGAGATGGCGGACGCAGGTGGAAAAAAAGGATAGAGAGAAAGAGAGAGATAAGAGAGTTGCTGTAATACAGGTGCAGACCTTGGGATTTTGTACGCATACACACACATCTGCCTTCCTACCTGTCATCAATTTGGTTTGTAAACTGTATCAAAACCAAAGTATTTTCACTATTTAGAATTTGTCTGCTAATACAATATATTTAACATATGTATAATTAAAGCAAAATACTGGTAAAAAACAGAAAGGAAGAAACATTTTCACATTATTTTAGTTATACTTTTAAGTTTGTCAAAAATTTGTAACTTCATATACATATATTATAAGACTGCCTTTTATTGTGATAATAATTCTATTAGTGTGTAGCATTTAACTCTTCTTGATCCTGAATAGTATAACAAATATTTAATCCTTCAGTGCAACTATAACACACTCGACTTTTCTTTTTATTTAAATGCCAATTTTTTTATTAAGAAAAATACATATATTTGCATATTAATATTTTTTTTATATTTGTATTATATTTTTTGTAATGTCTGATATTTTGGTTGAAAAAATTTGATATAATATAATTTAATTTAACTTTTTACAGTATCTTTATTATAACGCCTAGTACATTATATATGTATGTAAAAAAATATAGTGTGCCTTTGAAGGATTAAATTTTTTAAAATTATAATGCATTTTTTGTTTATTAAATTGTGAATTAATTCTAAAATTTTATGTATCAAGTGTAACTTACCAAGGCTCAATATTGATGAATTTTTTCTCACATATTTCTAATATGCTTTATACTGTTTAGGATCAAGGTAAACGAAGACAAAGGATCTCTTATTGTAAGCCATTGTGATTTTTAATCTTATATGAAATATATTTGTAAGTAAAACTGTGATACAATTTAGATAAGAAGATGAAGTGAGGAGTATTGAAAGGAGTGTAAGATAAATAAATACATTTTTGCAAGTAACAATGTAGAACTATTCTTCTTCAACTTTTCTATTCACTAACTTATTAATACCATCAATTCTTTTCAGTCTGGCACATAGACATCATAGAAAATTCACCTTATCGCGAATGAAGCTGTCAATATATGGACGATGTCGTCGTTATCGTTGGCTTAAGAAACCTATAAGATTGCGGCAAGCGAAAAAAAACCCTAAGGAAGTATATCTGTCTTGAGTGAGTGGGAAGAAAAAAAATTTATGTTTCTAGAGGCTGGTTGACTTGGCGCACAAATTATCTTTTGCACGAATCGTCATGATACCGAGCTCGTCTCTGCGTGATGACTACAACGATGAGAAATGAAGTTTTATGCAATGAACTTCCATTCCCCCGATCGATCGTTTCCCCAGATCCAGACTAAATTCATTTTCGTTGAATCACATAGGCTAATGATGAAGAGAACCGTTATCTTAAGGTCGCAGGTATACTTCAAGTAAGGTAATTCGGCATGCGAATAACCTATTAGAGTTATCGGAAGTTTTTCCTGTTTGTAAAGTTTCCATGTTTATGCTTGTTCTACGTTGCCCTAATAATGTGTTCATAGATCTGCACAACCTTCGGTCATGCCGAGACCAGGATAGGACGTTAACGTGTATGTTTTAGATGTTCAGAAAATATGAGAGACATTTGGAGGATATATACCGGTGACTTAGCAAGTGAAGGAAAAATTGTCTATGTAAAGAGTATATGCGCAAGAATTATATATTATGTGTAAGAAGTGGTGGAAATGTTAGGTTTTCTTGGTAACGTTGGTTTCAATTGAAGTAGGAATTGAATTTTATTTCATTTCTCTTAGTCATTTTGCATCTTAATATCTTTTTGTAAACATAATTTATGTCAATTGTAAAAAAATCTGAAGATCCGAAGATCTAAGAACTTGAAGACTGACTATCCTGGAATTAGGAGGAATCCATGTATACGTCTGGGAATCTTTACTAGCCAAAGCTTTCGAAGTCGATGTTTAGAGAATTGAAAAAAAATCTTGATATCTTCATCGAAATCCCAATCTTAGCCGACCAGTTTAAGGATTTAAATCTGTACCAGCAATGAATCGAGGCGCACTATGAAAAAAATCATACATAAAATAAGAGCACAATGAAAAAATATTTTTATTTAAAAGAGCACAAACAATACAACACAAATAGCAAGAGTGGTAAATCAACACCAATTGAAAGGAATTTTCTATTACGGTAAAACCTGGCTAAGTAAAATTTATATCTATATATTTGAATTTTTGATCAAATTGTTTATCTGGTAATTTAAGGCGTATTATATGGTAAATTATTTTAGTTCAGTACTCTTATATAATTAAGTATTTACATGGTAACAAAGTATTGAACTTTTTTCTCGGTAATATTCCTGATAGCAAGCTGACGTCCTTTTGTCGTCAAAGTGATAACAAAATGACGTAGCTTTGTTATCAGAGATAATTTTATATTGGAATGTTTTTTGTGGAGATAAATAAAGAGATATAAGATGAGGGGTCGGGGGGGGAGGTGCAAATGAGAAACCTTTTTGATTGACAGACAGCTGCGTGTGTTTGGAAGATTTCTCATCCTATTCGACCGATGAACTGTGAAGAACTGTGATTAAATGTCTCGAGATTGGCATCAAAATATAAAATGCAATCTATTGAACGTGACGATATCGTGAAGATTTGATGGACGACTTAAGATAATGAAAATGAGAGTAAATCTCTGTTGGAGCGTAACTAGTTATCGTTCCTTATATCGTATATTATTAGGTGTTGGAATTAATTCGTAGCGTTTTACAAGTGATGGGAAGTACTTTCATTAATGTATTTTTTAATGCTCATGTGAAATAAATAACATTCTTTCATTAAAAAACGCTACGAATTAATTCCAACACCTAATATATTCGTAATATAATTTACATATTGCATTTTGCTTTGTTCGATTCTTTTTATGTTTTACATAGCAGGCTGCAGAACGAAAGAACTAGATCTAAACCTTTCATAGATTAGATAAACGCCCCCGATCGTCATTATCTGCACAGTTCTAATTCGACAGCCTGTCGACGATACAATTGATCATCATCAGGAGATATCACTGGATTTGTATGATTAAGGTAACAAGAGACGGAAGATCGTTATTGATCTTTGATTCTTGTACTTTGTGCCTTGTGTATACAGATATAGATGGGGGGAGGGGGAGGGGGAGGGGAAAAAAAACAATGTTTTTATGAGTCACAGGGAAGATGCTGTTTTGCACAATGGTAATGAAGAAAAATGTACTTGGAGGATATTTCAAGATGGCACAAGATTACCAGATATATAATTATCGATATCATATGATATGATCATATTCTGCTGATGTCTTTCGATTACTTTGGCAAAATGTAATTTCATCTGAATCCGCACAAAGCAAGTTTGCACGAGATTTCTGCAAGGATGTGTCGAGCATACGGACCATATGAATTTGCAAATCTTGGGATGAAATAAATTTAAACATCTAATTATAACACAAAAGGCTAAAGATAATAGACTTCAGTAATTTAACAATTTCAGAATTTGAAGCTCACACGGATCATCAAGGATCTATAAATATTTAAAAGTCTAAAAAGCCAAAGAGTTTTAGATAATGCTTTTCAAATCACTTTGTTTTCATCATTAATTTAATTATAATGGAATTATTTTTGCAATTTGCGTATAAATCCAAAATTTTTATTTTGTAGAAGAAATCGCAACAATTTATCCATTATGGAACTACTTTATATCAAAGAAATTAGGGATTCTTGAAAAATCCATCTAAATAATGATAAATCTGACATTTCCTAACTTGAAAAGAAAAAAAGACGCATTATTTTTAGAAGACATTTTAAAAGTTTTTAAAAAGAGAGGGAGGAGAAAGAAGTATATAATATTTCATTACAATATTACACAAATAATTCATTACAATTATTCAAGACATATAATAATTCATTACAATTGTCAATATATAGATTTCTAACAGGTCTTTTCATCTTTTAGTTAGACCATTTATGGGAGATATATAGTGATGATAAAATATTACAAATAGGGAGGGAAAGATCAAATACTACTTTGTTTTTTCACAGAGAGCTGTCATTTGAATCACGACATTTATTATACACAAAATGTTCTAGTTATGGAATGAGTAGGATGGTTCAATCATTTAAGACACAATATAATATGATATGTCACATTTCTATGGGAACAGGAAATATATGAAAATTAATATACTAGTTGGAAAGAGGAAATGATGCAAAATATTAAAGTTCAATTTAATGGAAAATTTTTAACAAGTTGTGTCGCTAAAATGTATTTTTAACAAGGATTTGATCTCTTAAAGAGGATCTCTTAACTTTAGGTTTTGCAACAAAGAGAGCAAAATTGAAAAATACAATTTTCCCGAAGAGGATGAAAATTACGAAGTTTGGTATAAATTATATGAATTCATTCAGTCTAATATTACAGACTGAAATAAGGATTTCGAGCTTTAATAGAATTTTAATAGAATTAATTGGAAAGAAGATGAAATAATTAATGATATAATTAAAAGGAAGATAATTGCATGTGAGTCGATAAAATATATTAATTTATTAAGAAAGATGTACGGAGCAGTGATAGAGGTAAGCAGCAACTGCTGAATTTGCCAGGTAATGATTTTTAAAAAAATATTTTTTCATATTTTTTTCATCGTTTAATTATTGAACGTTGAAAAATTAACGTCGGTTTTTTTAAACAACTATTTAATTATTGAGTGTTAAAGGATTAGCAGTATCGGCTTCCTTAAAAATTTACTAGATCTCATTGTGAGATATTTAATTCAAATTATCCCCCCCCCCCTCCCCCGGCTAACGCCAAATAGTCATAGAAAGTTCGATTCGTATTCTTAAAGTGCCGAATATGCCGGAAGAGTAAAAGAGTTTTCACAGAATGTGCAAATGTCGAAATTGCTTTTACTTTAAATACGTAAATATTTCGTAATACTGTTGGAATGTTTTTCTGAGTAGCAACCTTTTATGAATATTTCAAGAATATTTAGCATTAGCTGGGATTTAACATTTACGAAAATAATTAAAACTTTGAAGTGAAAATTAACTTTATATCGATTTTTTAAATATACGTTTCTAGTTTGGATTTGTTGAATTAATCAAGTCATTAATTAGATAAATCAAAATTCAAATCGATTTCAATTCTATTTTACTATAGTATGTTTGTTATACTTAGCATTTGATAAATCTGAACTCTATATTTTAACATATCTTTAATATATTAAATTTAATATATTATTATATAACATATCTAAAATATATTTGTTTTTCTTTTTTCTATTAGGTGTTGGAATTAATTCGTAGCGTTTTTAATGAAAGAATGTTATTTATTTCACATGAGCATTAAAAAATACATTAATGAAAGTACTTCCCATCACTTGTAAAACGCTACGAATTAATTCCAACACCTAATATATTTTATAAATATATATTTACGGCTCTTGAGTAAGTCATCTATGGTAGTGATTACTCAAAAGCCTTAAGAATTTTAGAAAAGAGTAATACTTGTATATAAAGTGGTCCTCTGTTCCTCAGTGTCGTCATAAACAATCTTATACTTTTTTTGGCCTGAAGAAGCTGGATTCCGTTTTCTCTCTTGGTTGTGAGATTTTATTGTTATCGACCAAAGAACCTTGGACGTGAGTTATCCGTTTCCTTAAAATTTTTCCTATTAACGGAATGTTTTAGAGAAGTACAAAAGTGTTCAACCGTGTAATGATCTACTATCGACCTTCGAATTCGATGCTGGTCTCCAAATACTTGCTCGATTGCGTAAACGTACCAATTTGGTGCTCAATTTCTCTTGCCGTTGGTTATCTTCGAAATCTTAAAGACTTTTCGTCTCTAGACATAGGAGACTTGCGCTATATGTGATTTATCGTTAAATCAGCATTCTTGGTCAACTAGGATTTCGTCGCAAAAGAGGATCATCGTAGATGTCCAATGCAAAATAGAATATTGTCATAGGAATTGTGAGAAGTCAATTTTTTTTCAACAGCGCTGGTGCGAAATATGCAGATTCTAGAATTTCTAAAAAAGTAAGTAATTTTGTTTATACATAATTACACAATCCTGACAATTCTATTAGCATACTAATAATTCGTTAAAAAAATTGAGTAAGAATAATAAAATACACAAGTTTTTATTGTTTCAATCTAATATTACAATAAAAATATATGCAAAAGTGAAACATAACAATATATAATTGAAAATATAAAGAACAGCTCAAATAATTAAAAATTAAAATACAAAAAAGGAGCTACCAAAAAACAATTATATGTAACCTATACGCAACGTTTCTAGTTCACACAAGATCATTTTCAATGTTAATACTGTAAAATTTAAATGTAAGTTTAATTGTAAGTTTTTTTTCTACGAAAACAAACAGTTATAACTTAATACCGCATAAGAATATGAACATCGTTTTAAAATTCTTCACTATTATATAACTGCAATAAAAACGTATAAATGTGTTCCTCATTTCCACAGTCGCCGAGTTATCAATCCATAATAGTTATGGGTATCGTAAACTAACATACTCATTTCATTATTTTGTTCATAAAAGTAATAAGGTATGATTATAAAAAAATTATTTGTTTACGAAATATTTAATATGTTAATATGCTAGAATAAAGTATAAAATATCTTGTAAATAATTGGTTTTCTGATACTTTAATCTTAATACTTTTACGTATTTATAAAAATTTTAGTTTTAAAATTTATATTGTTAAAAATATATCATAATCTTTTTTTTTTTATTATTTTAATGTTAGGAACAATAAAAATTCGTATTTAGTAATACTTTTATTATTTTTTTAAATAAAATTTCCAGGATTATATTTAAATATTCGCTTTATAAAAAAATTTGAATAAATTCTAAATAAATTTTAATAAACAAAAAATTGTTTCTTACTTTTTATTTATTTTATTAAATTGATTTACTTTAGCAAATGCTGTATATACGTGAAAAATCGCATGTTATATTATTAAATAAATATTAAGTACTGAAAGAAAATCTTATAATATGGAAGTTAATTATTATCATTATAAAATTATAGGATTATCACAGGATTTCATCGTAGAAGATAATCATAAGACTTTGTCACAGAAAATCGAAACCTTTGGCTTTTAAAATTTTTTTCCAGAAAATCTCGTAGAATTTTAATTTCTTTTAAAGGAGAAGCATCATTTTATCATAAAAAAGTTGTCATCGCTGAGTTGATTTTTAAAAAAAATTGTTAGTATATTAAGATTTTCAGAATGGTATAATTAAGTATCACCACGAAGTCATAGATTAACTGCATCATAAAATTATTATGGAATTTTATTATTTAAAAATATAATTGCGTGATGAAAAAAGGGTCATTGCGGGATTTCATTACAGAAGAGGATCATCGTAAAATTCCATTGCAGAAGAGGACCATTGTGAAAGATCATCACAGAATTTTATCACAAAAAGGATCATCGCAGGATTTCATCACAGAAGATCATCGTGAGACCTTGATGCAGAAGAGAAGCACATCATGGGATTCTGTCGCAGAAGAGGATCATCACCGAATTTCGTTATACAGGATCATTGTAGAATTCCATTGCAGAAGAGAATCATCGTGAAAGATCATCACAGAACTTTATCACAAAAAGGATCATCGCGGAATTTCATCACAGAAGATCATCACAGAAGATCATCACAGAAGATCATCGTGGGACCTTGTTGCAGAAGAGGATCACATCACGGGATTCTGTCGCAGAAGAGGATCATCACCGAATTTCGTTATACAGGATCATTGTAGAATTCCATTGCAGAAGAGAATCATCGTGAAAAATCATCACAGAACTTTATCACAAAAAGGATCATCGCGGAATTTCATCACAGAAGATCATCACAGAAGATCATCACAGAAGATCATCACAGAAGATCATCACAGAAGATCATCACAGAAGATCATCACAGAAGATCATCACAGAAGATCATCACAGAAGATCATCACAGAAGATCATCACAGAAGATCATCACAGAAGATCATCACAGAAGATCATCACAGAAGATCAGCCTGAAAAACCATCACAGAACTTTATCACAAAAAGGATCATCGCGGAATTTCATCACAGAAGATCATCACAGAAGATCATCGTGGGACCTTGTCGCAGAAGAGGATCATCACCGGATTTCATCGCAGATCATCGTGGGATTTTGAAGCAGAAGACGATCACATCACGGGATTCTGTCGCGGAAGAGGATCATCACGGGATTTCGTCATACAGGATCATTGTATAATTCCATTGCAGAAGAGAATCATCGTGAAAAATCATCACAGAACTTTATCACAAAAAGGATCATCGCGGAATTTCATCACAGAAGATCATCACAGAAGATCATCACAGAAGATCATCATCACAGAAGATCATCACAGAAGATCATCACAGAAGATCATCGTGGGACCTTGT